CTCTTTGGCAGATCTGAGTCACCTCTGTGTCTATTATTATGGGCTTATTAAAATGATCCTCTGCTGGAGTGGAAAAGCTCCAGAAAAACCAGTCACCTCCCTGACACTGCCGGACTCAGGGCCCATGAGCATGTGTCACCGAACCGCCTAAGGCTAGGAGGGAGGGCAAAGACCACTTCCTGAGGGCCTACTGTGTGTCAGGCATCTCGCCAGGTGCTTTCCTACATCAGCTTGTTTAGTCTTCACAGTGGCTCTGTGCCGTATTCACATTTAACTGATGAAGAAACTGAGGTGCAAGGAATTAAAAGGCTTGCCCATGTCTTACAGTCAGTTGGTGACAGTGGCCAGGATCGAATCAGAACCTGGCATCTTCTCATGTCACTGCCCTGTGTCCCCTATTGTGTGCCAGGGTCACCTGAGACGGTAAGACACAAGCAGGGCGGGCTCAGACACAGTGGCCCTGGCAAGGATCTCCTCTGGCCGACCAAGGCCGTCCTAATTCCTGAAAACACCAGGGGGGGCTGTGGAGTCGAAAATGCCCAGGAGGCTTATTTAAAGGGCTTGGGCAGCAAGCAGCTGGAGTCCGGAATTCCCAGGACAGGAGTGAGCACCGGGGTCCCTTTCACCTCTGAGCGGGAGCCCCTACCTCCTGCCGGGAGCCTAGGGGTTTTCAGCGTCCTCCAGAGGCGAGGCTCAGGCTTCGGTCTTCCTTTTGTGACTCCTCCTGGGTTTCTTCGGAGGAGAGGTTGGCTTCCAGCGTCCTTTTAGTGGGAGTGCAGGTGGCCACCTGAGGCAGGGTGGGCGGGGCTAGGGAGTGCATGGGCAGGCTTCCTCCAGATAGCTGCTCTCCGCTGCGCCCACCCTGCGCTGCTAGAGGTGCCATCAGACCACGCTGGGCCAGGGCATCTGTGGAGTCTGCACAGAGGCCTGCACGGGAGCACACACACACACACACACACACACACACACACACACTCACACTCCCTCCTTGAGCTGGATTGATTTAGAAGACAGCCTTGCTGGCCATAGAGAGCTGAAAGGCGAGGGACAACCTTGGGCTGCAGTTGCCTCTGTATACAGCAGGGCCCTGAGCTAGCCCTGCTCCAGGGGAGAAAGGGAGGGAAAATGAGGTGGTGGCCACCAAGGGGCACCTCTGACACAGCCAACATATACACATAACCACATGCACTAGCGCTCCCAACACACACACACACACACACACACACACACACTCCCAGACATCTCCTTCCCTGCCCATTCCTTTCCTCCTGGGCCAGCATCTTTCTGTGAATCCTGGATGGAGTCCAGCCCCCACACACATAGTGGAAAGGGATGTGCCTGCTCAGAGAACCCTCACAGTTGCATCTGGCTTCAGTATCTGTCTCTTATCCATGTTGGGAAAAGAGGTGCTGGGGTCCCAGGGAGAGGGACAAGAAGGGACCATTCCCCAAAGTGGAGGCCTTCAGGAAGCTGAGCTGAGGTGATTGGCCATAAAACAGCTTGGCCACAGCATCTGGAGGAGATTGGAACCAGATGTTCCTGGGATGGGGGCAGGGAGGATGTGGGGCTGGGAGGGGGCTGGAGCAGGAGAAGGGGGCTGGTCAACAGGAGGCTGGGTGAGGGGCCTCGTGGCTCTCTGGGGAAAACATCTGGCTGCCCTCTGCCCCTTTCCCCTTTGGGCACTACTATTGTTGCAAAACGGAGCAGCAAACCTTTTCCAGGACTCCAG